TCCCACTGGGGGGAGTGAGTGAGCGGCTGTGTGGTGCTTAGTTGCTGGCTGAGGTTAAACCACAACAACTGCACACAGAGATAGTGGCAAATATAGATGAGTGAGGGTTATTGGTACAAGAACAAGTTGCTGTGAATCAAGAGGCCCACTTTTAACAATTAAAAAAAAATCAGTTACCTTCATTTTTAGGTGTCTAACCTAAGACTCTACCTATACCTATATTGCCTGTACCAGAGCAGGACCCAGTGTGGCTTGCTTTTGACATAATCCCTCTGTCTCCCTCCATGGTCATGGTAGATGGCTATCATTCAACTGTGAGCCTTCACACAATCCTAAAGGCAGTCTGAGCTCACTCTGCTGATGAAAACCAACTGCCCTTGCAACAGGCTATGCCAAAGCCCTTCTGTAAAATAATCCATGAGTAATTCAGCATTAACCATGGGACACTGCTGCACGACAACATTCCTGGCCCACCTACACAGTGCCTAAGCCTGTGCTTGGTCTGGAGGGCAGGCAGAGCCTTGTTATCCAGCCTAAGCCCATGGCTTTAGGTCTGGCAGCACAGTTTGGTTGCATCCTGTGAGTATGAAGGGCTTAACTTTCTCTCTCAATGATGTGCCTCAATGGCTTACCTACAGCCTACACTGAGGCAGGGCTTGCCTCACTCACTGAGGACGTGAGGGAAATGGAAGCTTCAGTCCAGACTTAAAATATAATGTTAATCCACCTCTGGAAAATTCCAGAATTAATAATTAACCTTGTTGTAAAGATAAGGCTCTTTGTGAACATGTTGGCATAAATCATTATTAAAAAAATATGATGTATATATTCTAGGATAGGATATCCATATCCTATATGGATAGGACAAATTAAATAAAAACTACTTCCTGTCCACGGTCTGTTTCCTAACTGGAGAAACAGTGACTTTCAATCCAAGCATGAAGCAGATCATCTACAGTAAAATTAGTGGAAAGAAAAGCAGTGTCCCTGTCTTTCAATGCTAGCTAAGAAGATAGAACAGCTCCCTCCTCTGTCTCTTTCTTTAATTTTTTGAAGCTTGGTGCTTCTTTCATTCTATTTCGTAAATGGTTGATTCCGTGTGAAAGTAAAATGGCTCCCCTACTTGCTATCGGCAGTCAAGCTAAAGGGTAATCGTGACTACCCTAGAATTAAGACAGCAGTCTGTTAAAAAGTCTGTATTGAAGCAGGAATCTTCAGGACTCCCCTAGAATTAATACAGCAGTCTGTTGAAAAGTCTGTATTGAAGCAGGAATCTTCAGTCATTCCCGTGGGAGGATTTGTTTTGGTAGTTGTTAACACAGAGCTACAAAACAGGACCATGTGAACGGTTAGCGTGTATTAATCAACACTGATTTTCAAACATTTGTTAGAGATGAGTAACAAAGTTTCTCAGCTATCAAAACTCTGCAGGTACACTTTCTTATAAAAGAAGAGACAAGCAGCATTGAAGAAGTTGCTGTGGAATGGCATTAGCTAAACTGACAAAAGTCCTTTTTAAACTGACATAGAGGAAGTTGCTCTTGTGTAATAAGGTTAGTAAAATCATGCATCTAGGTAACTGGATGAAAATAAAGCATAGGTGTATATTCACGGCATAAGTCTAATAGAGCTTTGTACGGAGCTCTGTCACCATAGTAAAGAGAGTCACTTCTTTGCACTAGAAGCTTGACAGCAGTTTAAATTGATTTGAAATAATTTAGCTGAACATGTACAATCGCCTTCTGCAGGTGGTCATTGATTTACAGTTTCTTATGTAAGAATAAATTAAACCTCTTACCAACATATGTCGGTATTAGTAAACAATCTGTATACAAACACATCATTTAAAGCTCTTCTGTACATAACAACTGACAAACCTAAAGATATGTAAGTTAAAGGTGCCCTAGATGTAGGCACCCTCCAGTCATCTACCCAGAAGCACATGCACATCTCTGTTGACATACTGTCATGATAGACACCAAGGCATGGTAGCCTCCAGGCCCACTGGGGGATGCGTACAGCCTATTAACCCCTTTCCCAAGCTTTCCTGGTATCTACAGATCCAGTCATTTTCACTGGTAACGATTCACTGTTCCCTGTAGTTTTACACTGGTATAATTAATAACATTTTGCAAATTATGACTGAATCCACAGGTTGATCTGTCTCAGCTGTGGTCGCTTGAGAGGGCATGAAAAGCAGAAACATCCCACTTTTCTATCCCCCTGCCAGCCATATTTTGTCATAAAGGTTAACATTTCTGTCTTTGAATATATATAAGGATAATATCAATAGGATAAGAAAAGCCGGTTTTTATGTAACCACACATCCAGTGTATGTTTTCCCCCTTTTTTTCCAAGGACTGCACTCTGGTTCCCTGTATTTTACACTGGTATAATTAATAACATTTTGCAAATTATGACTGAATCCACAGGTTGATCTGTCTCAGCTGTGGTCGCTTGAGAGGGCATGAAAAGCAGAAACATCCCACTTTTCTATCCCCCTGCCAGCCATATTTTGTCATAAAGGTTAACATTTCTGTCTTTGAATATATATAAGGATAATATCAATAGGATAAGAAAAGCCGGTTTTTATGTAACCACACATCCAGTGTATGTTTTCCCCCTTTTTTTCCAAGGACTGCACTCTGACCTGTGTTACTTTTTATCTGTTTTTCAGAGCAGCTGAATTGCAGCTGGGTGAAGAGTTACCTGGGGAAGTGAGAGCAAAGGTGACTTTCCCAATGTGATACGAGCCCCTTATTATATGGTGCCTCTATCCTTGCAGTGGCTGTGCAGCTCCCGTTCAGACCAGGCTTCAGCCACTGTCAGCATTTTGCACTTCTGATAGATTCAGAGATTTCAAAGGAGGAACAAAGAGGTCATTTGTGCGACCTTTTGTACAGCACTGCTCATGTCACCAAGCTACTGAGTTAAGCATGTTTTCCATTTACTGATGGCTCTTATGACACTGAATGAGGATTAGATTGACAAACTGAGCTGACTCACGTGGTTTCCTGGAGCAACCCAAGAGGATGGAAATAGGTCAGAAAGCAGGCAATGCCTCTTCCTCATACTGGCAATAGTAAGATAGCAAATCAAGTTAATCATAAACAAAAAACAAACAAGTAACAGAAAGCTCCCCAGACTGATATTTAGCCTTGCTGTGATGAACAGCAGCACCTCTGCCAGGTGATTTTTTTCTCAGTCGATTTACTGAGACAACCTTTATTTGCGGGCAGGAATCTCTGTTGACCTAAAGCTCTTCAATTGCCTACGTTTGCACTAATGTAGCAAATGCGTGTTTCTGGTTTCAGTGTTTCCTGCCTTTTTTGGGGAAACTTGGTGGGTCAGGAACTGACAAGGGAACTTGTACATTTAACTGGAAGCTTTTCATTTGTTTTCAAACTTGATGCAAGATATTGCTGCCCTTTTAGAGAACTGCATTCATTTTAGATATTTGGATGAAATAGGTAGCCTGAAATGGACTGTGCATGTTGACAGCTGCTCCTATTACTAAATCTTTGGAACTCTCCACAGGCCAAAGAGAAAATAGCCCCAGCAAACATGTTCTGTGTTAAACTAGACTAAACTAGACTAAATGGGACTAAGACGGTATTTTCCTCCAGTTGCTGTCACCTATGTTGTTTTCCTTCTGACATGCAGAGTGCAAACCCAGTTAAGCAGGAACTCTGTGGGGCCTTTTTTGTGTGCCAAGCTCAATGGTGGCGCTTCAAAACCAAAAGTGGATTGGTAACAGTTGTCTATAATTAAATGGGCTACAAAACGCTTGAGTTCATTTCCCACAAGCTCAAAGCATGGCTATAGTGCTGGTACTAATGCTAAAGCAGAACTGGACTTTATTTGATAACATCAACCAAGCCCTATTGCAACTAAAAGCCCTCAACGGGATGTTTGTATGTTTGGTTAATACGGGAAGAGTGAGGAAAAGGAGGAGGTAATAACGTGATGCGTCTGATAAGCACGTTTACAACGGTGGAGAAGAGGGAGATGGTATATGCAGCACTGACTCTTGACCTGGTTCATACCAACTTTCAGAATTCTCCAAATGTTAACAGAAGGTTATGCTATCCATTTCTAAAGGCAACAGTGAGAAAAGCTTCTTGTCTTGATGGAGTAGGGACTACTGCCTCCACAGCTGGATTGTAGATAAATGCCTCCGTGTAGCCATTTAGCAAGTTTTATCAAAGGAAGTAATGCGTGTTCGGTGTTTTTGGAAATGTTGCTTTCATCTCAGTGGGATTTATAATGTCCAGCTGAAAACAAGAGAAAAAGAAAATGATCTACTTTATGCACTTCTGTTGCTCTGTTTATACTTGACCACCTTTAAATTTGTTTATTATTATTTATTGATTAATGTTTGTACAACATGTGAATGACATATAATGCCCACACCTGTTGCACTCTTTTAACACCTTTTTTCCTATTGGTTCCTAAGTTGGGTTAGAGGTTGATTTGAAAATGTCAGCAATATCAACTGCACTTTTACAAAGACAAAAACTCAAAGCATGTCTGAAATATTTTTGTTAATGCTGAAAGTTACTGTGGGAGGGATGCATGAGAAGTATCCAGTGGGATTTTTCTTCAGGGAGACCAACCTAAACTTCCACATAATTCGGGCACTCTCACGATAATGAAAAATCAGTGGTGTGTGAAAGAGAGATATTGAAATCTTAGGGATGCAGGCAGTTTGTGAAGGAAAAGCAAAATATATAAAATGGAAAAGGCTGAAGATCATACAGAATAATTCCCATTGCTTATAATCACAATTCCGTGCGAAAAACAACAGAGGTATCAGCCATTTTCTTCTTATAATCTTCATCAAATTTCTTATTCTGTGCCACAGTGAAATAATTCTTCCAGTCCCCGACAACCCCTAAGAAACAGCAAAGCAAAGAAAGAAAAAAAGATTAATTTTCCAGTATTTCCTGAAGCCCATTAGCCATGACTCACTAGACACTTGTACTTCAAGGCTTATTTCAAAACAGAATGACAACCAGGAAGACAGAGCTGATGCCAGTAATAAACCTCGGTACCTTTTCTCATGAATGGGGAAATGGAATGATCCATTATTCCCTGAAATTCATTAGTGTAGTTTGTCATGGGATTTTCCTTCATTATCTCAAACGAGGTGTTATGGAGTATCTTGTTTAGAACCTCTTGACTGACATCCTTCTCCAGGAACTTCAGAATCTTCTGAATTTCTTGCTTTGGATTCTGCAGAGGGAATAACATGGGATAAGATACAGAGCCAGGAAAAGCAAAGAAATCAAACATAGTGTTAAAGTTGCAGTTGTTGTCAGGGTGAGACAATTGGGTTATCTGAAGATTTACTGATACAGCTGGCATTATAACAGAAAACTGTTGATCGTAGGTAGTATCTACTGGGCTTGCAGATTTCAGAGCTCTGTAAATATACATTCAGCCTTTTACCTCCTTCATATCTTCATAGAAGAGGTAGAGAATACGGTGCTTATCTTTTGCCTTCCACCATCCTTTTACATGGTCATACCAGGAACCCCAGAGCACTGGAAAAGGAGTAACATCATCAGCAGCTATAAATGCCCAAACTGTCTTTAGGTATCTGTGGCACTCATGTTTCCCTCATAACCAGTGTCTGGGCATTTCCCAGCTGGTTTTAAATCACCATGGCCATGACTGCTGGGCTCTGTGCTTATCACAGCATTTGTGCTATTAATCCCTCAGGCGTATGGATGCTCAGAGCCAGATTCATGTGTAACGTTAGAGGGCAACAAATGCAGATGCTTACCCCTGAATGAAAAATCCAGGCTGCCTTTACTGTCAATGGAGAGAAACAGACGTTTCCAGAGTGATTCATCTGATCAGCTGGACAAGACCAGTCTTAACTGGCCCTGCTTTAAGCAGGGGGTTAGACCAGATGGACACCAAAGGCCCTTTCCAACTTGCATCATTCTGTGATTCTAACTGGTTTAAATATTTGGTGTGCTATCAGAAGTGCTATCAGAAGTGCCTGTTTCTCTCCAGCAAGTATCAAGATGACTAGCGTGGACAGAGGTAGCTATGTTCTAGATGTCTGCACTGGGCCAGATGGCTCCCAAGCCAAGCTGGTCGAACACAAGACACAAGGTCTCCTTTAGACATGAGACTCTCATGCTGGTCCAGACAGTGGTGTTTCTAGGCCTACATGGTGGCAAAAATATTAAGGATCTATGGAAGCTTTACTGAGCAAAATTGCAGACTGCCATCCATCCGAGCAGGTTTTCTTTCTTGGATAAGCACCTTTTTTTAGAAAGGGAAGAATCAGCTTCCAGGGTTGCCTGTCTTTAGCTAGATAACTGGCTTTGTTCAGATGCCTGATTTTTATACAGAAGAATTTAGGTAAAAAGACTCCCTTAACTCAAATTCACACCACACATTTCTACACAAAATTAAACCTTGGTTTCTTGTGTATCAGGCTAGAGTAAAACCAATTAAACCACTGTTAGTTCCCAGCTGGCTTCCAAGCAGGTTTCTTTTAACCTCAGAGAGAAGAGATTAAGCCTGAAAATTGTCACATATGTTTCTGAATGATAATAGAATAAAGAGTAGCATTTTTTTTTTCCAAAATAGGAATGTAAAGATAGAATTAATCCTTTAGGTACTAATAAAAACCCATGAATGAAGATAAATTACTACTGAAACACCTTCAGTAAAGAAATCAATGTCATGCATTTTTTAAATGAACAAATCTCTTATACAACTGATTGCAGTTCATCACCTTTTCCGGTCATGAATTTCTCCATGAACTCCTCCCAGGTTCCTGGGTCAGGCATTCCTTTATTCATTCTGTGGAAATGGTAGTATGACACCAGGTTGTCTTTTGCATTTCTTGCCACATAGATTATCTTTATTGATATGAAAAGAGAGAGAGAAAAAAAAAATTAATGTACACATGCTTATATAGATATTGAGCATCTCCTGGAGTTTTCTCTTGGAGCCTGATGACAGAGGCTTAAGAGATTTTGCTTTGAAGCTGCCATTTTCTGAATCCCAACGCAGCTAACTTAGTCCTGGCTCCTTTAGTTTTACACAGGCTTTGCACATTAAAGGGAAGATATCTGGGGAGACCTTTATGTTTCACAAAGATTCTGGAAACCATTTTCAGTCCTGGTATATGTCACTTTCTTTGCAGGTGAAGTAAAATTGAGTCCTACCTCTTCAGCCTTACCTTACAGTTGTGTTCCCAGAAGGAGGGAGGCACCAGCTGCACGGGGAGATGAGTTTTTATTGTTCGTGGAGAAGGCATAGCTTCAGCTAACTCCAGGCCTGTGGGATGTTTCATTAAGAGATGTGAATTGTTCTGTAAGTTGCACTAACACTTCTTTGCTATTCTCATATGTGTGTACTCGGCACTGGTGAGGCCGCACCTTGAATACTGCGTTCAGCTTTGGGCCCCCCACTACAAGAAAGACATTGAGGTGCTGGAGCGAGTCCAGAGAAGGGCAACGAGGCTGGTGAAGGGTCTGGAGAACAAGTCTTCTGAGGAGCGGCTGAGGGAACTGGGACTGTTTAGCCTGGAGAAGAGGAGGCTGAGGGGAGACCTCATCGCTCTCTACAACTACCTGAAAGGAGGTTGTGGCAAGGTGGGTGTCGGTCTCTTCTCCCAAGTAACAAGTGATAGGACGAGAGGAAATGGCCTCACGTTGTGCCAGGGGAGGTTTAGATTGGACATGAGGAAAAATTTCTTCACCGAAAGGGTTGTCAAGCATTGGAACAGGCTGCCCAGGGAAGTGGTTGAGTCCCCATCCCTGGAGGTATTTAAAAGACGTGTAGATGTGGTGCTTAGGGACATGGTTTAGTGGTAGACTTGGCAGTGCTAGGTTAACGGTTGGACTCGATGATCTTAAAGGTCTTTTCCAACCTAAATGATTCTATCAATCTATGATTTTGACTGTGACTTTTCAGCAGTGCACCTTGCAACAATCATTCATCTCCAAAGCAATTACATAGCAGAGTAACATATACAACATTGCATAAGCACCTTCAGTGTTTTTAGAGAAATTTTTGCCTGTGTATTCAAGGAGGAAAGGGGGAACACCAATTCATATCTTCTTGCTTTCTTGGGCCCATCTCCAACCCCTGCATTCCAAGGGATGATGATGAATACTAATTTATATTTACCCAACCAAAGTTTTTCCTTCGCAATACTTAGTGATCTCCTTTCACTTTGCAGGCAAAAAATTTTTGTTTCTGTCTAGGATATGAGAAGAATAGATTGGCTGTCTAGACTTTCTGGATAGCACGTAAAGAGAAACTAGGAGAATGATGGACAGTGGATTTTGAGTAGCTATGGATATATAGGAATACTTGGGAATATCTGGTGATGTGTGGAGATGTGTTATCCCCTCCCCCCCTCCTTTTTAAACATTTATCATGACCTCTATCATTTTTTTTCCTATCATCGTCTATCATCCTCTGTCATCCTCTATCATTTTTTGTCTCTCTCCGTGTCAACACAGTCTAGCTTAGAAGAGAAAAAGTAGCACTTCTGCTGCAGAGTTGGTCAAACTTTTTAGCTTCAAATGTGAAGAGAGTCTGGCTTAAAGATTTGTGTGGAACGGGAGCCCTTGCTGGGGGAAGACTCTTGTAGGAAACTGTCTTTGCAAAACAGTCAGGCCTGCTGGTTGCCTGAATGCCCCATAGCTTGTTTAGATCACTAGACCCCAGAATTTAACAGCAGTTACTCAAAACAGTAGCAAAACCACTGAAAACATTATCCACCTTTTGGGAATACATCCGTGATGTAGGTTTCTTTTCCACACAGCCCCTAATCAGAGAATCGGGTTCAATTGCCCCCACGTTGCCATTTTATGCATTATCTGCTGCTGTTTTAGGTACTGTGGAGTATCACACACAGCTTTCAGATGCCACTCCAAAATAGCAAGGTCTTCAGTAGCGCCTGAGTCACATCTGCCAGCCTTGCATCGTCTTGAGTAGCACTATATATTTATGTTAAAGCAACTGAACTGATCCCTAATACCCAACACGGTGCATAGTTCAGTGACAAAGCAAGTGGGACCTTTCCCAGGAAACCTGTGGCATCAGCACTGGGTGCTTGTTTTGTTTCATTTTGTCTAAAATACAAACCTATTTGTATACTATTCACCTGAGTAACTCGCAGCTGAAGACTCTTGCACAGACCACTCAAGGAAAGGATGGCGTCTGTAAGTAGTGGCACGTCTACACTTCTCAACATCTCCATTTTGTTGAATCATATCCACTATCTCCTGTGTCCATGTGGTACCTGAAAATGCCAGTGTTTAGATGTTTCCCTCAGGGATAGCCAAGAGTCTCTTCTGCTAGGGAAGTGAAAGCCAGAAGGATGGACTCCGTATTAAAGGAGGAAGGAACAGCACAGAAGATGAGGGACAAAGTGGAAAGAGAGGATAATGGAGGAAAAATGCATAATTAGAAATACAAAGGTAATTCCCAAAGCACAGTTTCAGGGATTCCATTTTAGACAGGCTGCTTCTTGCCAACAGAAATAGCCTCCACCCCCATGCCAGTAATGAAAAAAGCTCTGGGATAAACTCACTGTTATTTGGAGATTGTATTATTTGCAGAGAGGAATGAAATTACCTCCTCCCAATTTTCATACCTCACAAAAATTCAAGTATTTCAACATTTGTTTTCATCCTGAATTTAAATGAAAAAATGAAATACCTGAACTTTGAGGGAGTAAAATTTTCATACAGTTTGAAAATATAAAGAAGTTGCAGTATTTTCAACATTCCCATTTGAAATGCTTTAAGAAGGTCGGTACAACATTTCATCTGCCTGAGCTACTGCAACATCTTGTAAGAGTTACAGTATTGTGTCTCTCATGTGCCTCTTTTCCCTTATAGCTGTGATAACGGGGTTAACCACATCTCCTCCGAGGTACTGTGGCAGGTCAGCTAGAGAACAGGCTAAGGGATAACTTGGAAAGCAATGTGGGCAGGAAACTCAGCCCTTCTTAGACGCTTGAATGGTGCATCCCTGGCAGATACAATATAATGTCAAATGGACTCCTAACTTTATTTCTTTTCAGTTCAATGGCTGAGAGGTTTGAATCCAGGCTGGATAAACTAATGTGTTTTTGCTTTCAGTGTACAGGACAGAAATTAAAAGCTTTCAGATTTTACAAAAATAATGTGGGGTTTTTTTGTAATAATTTTTTTTTTCTACTGAAAAAAATACTTAAAAATTCTTGCTAATTCAAGTCATTATTTTTTTATGATCATCAAATGTTCCCAAATCTGTTCCTGAATCCCCTAAACTGTACATGTTTTTATTCAAACAGGATTAATATTGATGCTTGTTATTCATTGTTTTCCTGTGTAGTAAGTATAAAGGGTCTGATCAAGAGGAGAAATAGTAATGAGCTAAGTGGCCAATCACTGAATAAAATACGAGATAGCTAATATTAATGGTGGGTGTTTTATTTTATTGGCTGAAATTATTAAGTGAATTTGGTTATTTCCTTAAAATAATTAACCCATTTCCAAAAATCAGTACTGGTTTACACACCAAGTCATTCCCCAAATACATAATACAATCCATAGTTGTTCAGTCAGTTTCTATTATTTCTTAGTAATGATAACTTTTTACTAGGCTTTGTTAAATCATTACCTATTGGTGGAAAACTTCTATTGTTGCCATTAATATATATGTATATAATCTAAATCAAAGGAAACATTTAAATATATGTAATTAGATTTTGACCATTTGAACTTCAATAATAATAGATGGTTGTTACTTCTGCCAAAGAAGTCAGAAGTTTCTAGTCACAGCTGACAGTGCTTCACATCTTTAAAATATGTCTGGTTTGGGATTAAACAAATATCAGTCACAACACAAAAACATAATTTTCAATTCCAGCAATAAGCACTATCCCAAACTTTTCTATTCTGTTTCCTACCCACACCAACCTGCTTTTGCATAGGTTGCGATGAGCAGATCGTCAGGTCTGGCTTTGAACTTCCACACTTGGTCCCACGTGCTGCATATTGTTGTTGTTAAGGGAATACCTTCCACTTCACCTATCTCAGCTCGGGGCACTGTCTGTTTCAGACTCAAATCCTCCATTTTATCCAGGGCCATTGAACACTGCGTGAAGAAAGAAAGGCTTGGAATTAATATGGTTGCTCTGAAAAAAAATCTAAATTTACTCATCCATTCTTGAGGTCTCTTTTATTGACTGAATTCCATGTCCTCTGATTTCTTTGGCTATGATTTGGCCTATCTGGATCCATATATAGGCTCCTTAAAGCTGGATCTAGTTTTCAGAAATGCTTGGTATATTGCTGTTGGTAGTCCTAGCATCTCTAAAAATCACTGTTTGCTCAGATGCAAAAAGAGAAAAACAGCCATTATTCCCATCTTTAAACATTTTACCAAGCATATTCATGTAAAATTCTGACTATGTATGTGGCCTTTGAAAGGCAAGAAAAAGTAATCAGAGGTGTGATTCAAAAGAGGGCGGAGCATAACAGCTCCAACTGAAGTAGGCGTACAGGACCCAACCCTTCTTAAAGAAAATAAACAGAAACACCTGCTGACACCCTTTGGGTCTCATACTCACAAAAATATTTGCAGAGCTTTTCTGTGCTTCGTTCCTGGAGCTTTTCACTCTTAGAACTCTTTGCTGTATATTGAAATTTGTTGCAGATAAATAACCTAAATGAGATAGATCATTAACTAAAGGTTGTTAGACTTTAATTATTTAAATCGATCTAGTTAAGTCTACTGCCTATTGTACAGTTTTACAGTAACTAGTTATTGATTTCTGGATTTCTCTCAAGGAGGTCTCTTCTTAGCCATAAGCTTCAGAGCTCCAGAAGCTGATCAGAGGAAAGTTCTGCTTAAAGGGAGGCTACAGAAATCATATCAATTAAAAATATCAGCCAGAAAAGACAAAAGACGTTTCAATCCCAACAGCAAACATTGCCAAAATATTTCCTTTCATTTCCTTGTTGACTCACACCCAATTTCACACAGATTCAGTTGAGCGTAGCAGAGGTTAGGTTGGTGGCTGGGCAGTGACCCAAGAAATAAAAAAAAAAGAAGGAAAAAGAAACTTGCCAGAGAATTTTTCCTGCTTGAATGTCTTCAGTCCTTGGCTGTATTCGTGACTTGTGCACCCACATAGATCTTCAGGCCGAAGTAGAATGAAAGCTTGGGTGGAGTTTCTATTCCTCCTATGAGTGTGAGGAGAGCAAAGGAGGAGGTACAGCAGCAGCCAACAGCTGAACAGTGTTTCTGGTTTGGTTTATGAACTCCTTTTTAATCCCGTGAAGGAAAAATACTTTGAATTCTCATCTGGTGGAAGGTGTCCCTGCCCATGGAAGGGTGGTTGGAAATAGATGATCTTTAAGGTCCCTTCCAACCCAAACCATTCTGTGATCTATTCTATGATCTGTCATCTAAAGTATGATTCTTTGCTGGCAATAACATTAAATGTCAGTCAGTAGCTCCAGCAAGAGTATTTTAACTTGTCTCTGTCATCGTCAGCCGTCTTGGAATAATTAATTTTCTTACTAATATTTAATCTGAATTGCAAAATAGTTTATTATTTGTTAATACCTGAGATCAACGGGACTGAATGAATTAAAAGTAACTTGGTTCCATTTTCACCATGTACTGCACCATGCTCATTTAATAGATGTCTAAGGGTCTGTTTCATTGCTGGGGCCAGCCATTTATGTTTTATAACACTTTCTAGACAGGTTCACTTCTTAACTAGTCTGGCATTACAGGGTTAGGGATCACTGTGTGTGAGCTAATGTTTATAAGATTTAAGTCCCTATCTATCTTTAAACCTACATGAGATACTGGGAGAGATAATGACATGCCTCGGACTAGGCACAAACCGCATAGTAACATTGGCTGCTAGAAGTATGCCAATGACACTTTTATATCTAGTTCCCAGCTGTTGCAGTCATGCTGAAATGTTTGATTGCATCAGGAAAAGCTGTTCTTGGGCAAAAGGCAGGTCACTCCAGCTGAACTCAAGCAAGTTTGAATGGATTGTGTTCATAAAGGAAAATTATTTTGAAAAGCATTGCTATCGGGCATTGCTTCTGTCTTCTGCTGAAGGCATGCAAACACTGTGAGTACTCGAGGTCCTTTTTGGTCATTCTTTGGATGATCTGGCAACGTTTTTATTTAAAATGGCTTTCTGTTAATCTCAGCTTTTTTGAAGGCATTTCATACAGACTAATCAAATGAGGATGCGGCCAATCCTACCCTCGTATGGAGGGCTAGTCAGCATGGCCAAGGGAGTCTAGAGAATGATTCAACTGGCCAAACATGAGCTGACTTGCTCTGCAGAGTCCATGAACTGCATGAGTTAGCTCTCCATTGACTGTAGGAGGAGCGTAGTACCTAGGTTGCAAAGACTTACTTATATTTTAAGGCACAGGTGGGAAGTGAGGATGTTCTGCCCTGGAGGTGGGGAGTGAGGTGAGAGTGAGCTGGTGCAGGGCTCTTCTGGATATCAGTAAGAAAGGCCTGACAACAAATGACTTAATAAGATAACTGCTTTAATAAGACAGAATAAGAAGAGGAATATAGATAGCGAGTAAATCTTACGTCCCTTCAGATGCTGGGAACCTTGCGTTTGTGCAGCATCAGATGGAGCCCACGTGGATTTTTCCCAAGGCATGCCGAGCAGGTCCTGTCCATGGAGAGAAGCTCCTCCTTTTTGGTCATTCAAGCTATTATACAGTTTTCTTACAAGAAAACAACTCTGTTCATGAAGGACGTTCACAGGAGAACTTCTTGTTGCTGATCACCGGACCAAGTGGGAGCTGCCTGCAGGCTCCTGTTACAGGCTGAGTTTATCCTGCGGCCAAGGGGTCTGTGCAGCACAGCACAGGCTGCGCCTACTCAGGTAAACTGTGATGTGGATCTCTGACTCCTCAGTGTACAGTGGTCTCCAGGTCAGGATCACCACCTTCTACCCTTTGGTCCACATACATGGTCCATGACTTTCCTCACACAACTCGCAGCATAGAGGTAGTGGGTCCCCATTGAGGGGCTGTGGGAGTCAGTGAATTGGTTCAGCGTTCCCTGTGCGATTTCAGGAAAACTTTCCTGAATCGGGAAACAAACCAAGAAACCGAGAGGACTGCTTGATTGGCTTTAAGCAAACCACTTGATCTTTTTCTGGTTCTGACACCAGGTTTTTCTTCTGAAGGCTGGCAACACCAGAACTAACAAATAACACAGAACAAGCAGAGAATATATGGTTAAGGTATAATATTTCTTCTGTTTGTGTTTTTTTTTAATGTGACCATTACTTTCAAGTTCTGTCATGGGAGGATTTGGCATTTTCCTCTCTGTGTTAAGCCCATGCTGATTCTGTTTGTCCTTCTCACCTACCTGCACCAGTTCATTTGCTGGTTTGAAATGGTATTCACCCCCCTTTCAGTTATGCAACCATCCTGATAATGCAGTAATCCCCAAAGCACATCAGCTGGTGTGTCTCAACAAAGAAAAACCCAAGAACTGCTTATCGAGTGGCTCTCTTTTATCGCAGCTGTGAATCTGAGTAGCCTCTGAACAGTGCATTTTGCCAGATAAGCTGGGGTGAGGTCAAAGCCTGCAGCTTTAAAACTGCTTTCGAAGTAGGCAATGGGTGATGGATTTTTTCCTGTTGTGAAATAGGGAGGTGAGAGGTGAACTGGTCAGCCCAGGGACTGGGTTTCTGGGCTGGGATCGTGGTTTACTGGGCCACTCTAAAAAAAGACCGGGCACTCTCTGCAAAGAGCTTCCTCAGGTTTCCTTTGACCATTTCCTGAGTACAAACTGCTGGCAGGTGTTTCCTCATGTAAAACACACTGGGTTTATTTTGTTTTATTTTTTAATTTTATATTTTATATTTTATTTTATTTTATATTTTATTTTGGCTTGGCTGAAAACACCTAGACCTTTACCTGGAATGGAAAGCTACAGGCTACTCAACAGAAACAATAATGGGAAGAGACTGCTGGGTGCTCACGGCATGGAGACAAGTGACTGCAAATCAGGAATATGTTTATCTGTCCTTGGAAGTATCCTTGCTGTATAGCATTGGGAGGTGGGGTAGTTAGTGTCAGGTTTCATAGTCACTGGGCTTTGTGAAAGCTGCATCTGATCAGCAAAGGAAGTACAAAGGGAGAGTGGAGGTACCTTTATCTTACTTTTGTCCTCATCTCACATCCTTAAATCTACACATGGTAAGCCAACAAGTTTTCATTTATCATGGTGTCATAATTGTCTATGAGTCTCTCATTTAGTTCCCGGTAAAATTCTCTTTTCAGCACACAGCAGTTTATAACAGCAACAGAGAGGTTCAGGAATATTATTGCACAAGGTAACCAAGTTGCTGGGGTGGCTGCTCAGGGTGCTGGCTGCTGGCCGGGACTGGACTGCCTCCTCTTCTGGTCCATGTCAGGATACAGCTGCCCTTTGGCACAGTGTTGCCGGAGTTGTTTTGGGGATAATGGCACATTTGCACTATTTACTTACATATTTTTAGTCAGTGGCATAGATTTATTACCCTTTCTTCTAATTTTTCCTTGGTGGGAACTGAAAACAGAAGTGTACGTCCTGGGGACCCTCGGGTATTTGGTGGATTCAGGACCCCATTAAGACACGTTGCTGCTATGCTTCATGGCTATCCATGCCCACACCATGCTGTTCTTGACATTAATATGACTACTTATATGAGCAGAGATATTTAAATGTTACTGACTAGAACATCTGAAGGGAGTTAAGCAGAGATAAACAAACAGCACTACAGTGGAGTCAAAACCAGAAGAAAGCAGATGACTAAAGACATAGTTTTCTTTTGTTAGCCCTCCAGACTCTGGAGTAGGGTCTGTGTTGTTTTTTTGCTGTTCTTCGAGTGAGCTCTCCTTTCAAATCTCTTCTTTCATGCCTATTAAATATATCAGTTTTAGGTTTTCTAGCTTGGAAAAAAAATGCAAAGGGATTATCTAAGAAATAAAGTATGTTTCCAATTACTATCTGAAGCTTTTATTTTTTTAAAAGTCATTAGTAGAACATTTCTTATTGAAGATAATTCTGCGACGAGATCTCTGGCAAAAGATTCTGTT